ACCACCCCCCGGATGAGATTCGACAAAAGCTGCCAGAAGAAGCTTTAATTAAATGTCTGGTTTCAATGGGATTAACTGCTTGATTAATCCTACCTCTGTCTGCGTGTCAATCATGCCTGTCATTATAATTGTCTGCGTTATAGCTGCTAACTTTGTGAAAGCTCAGTCTGGCTGCTCTTTATTTAAATAGGTGGTTTTATATTTATTTATTTTTAATTGGCCCTTGAGAAACATAATTCTCAGCTTCCACTATTTATTACTGCAGCCTGTTTGTCAGGAAAGAAACCTGACTTGAGTCCATGCTACTTTATTCCACGTGGACAGTCTGATCATACACAGCAACAAAACCTACTTGGTTCAGAACTCGGTTGTTCAGCTTTGTTCAAATTACTTGGAATGTGATTGCATAGAGACTTTCACATTTTTATTACAGGTGCAAATTCTGTAACTTGGTATGTATTCTGATGTAATAAAAACTACCTCATAAAGGATGAACCACCTTCCATCTTCACTGTTCCTAAGATTACTTCCAAATGGAATTTCATGCTCTGTCCTCCCTCTTCTAGTCCAGATCTCTTGCATCCCTTTCTCTGCATTTTATCATTACTAATTCCCAACTTGCTATTCACTAATCTGCTAACACTAGAAAACAGACAGCTATGGCTCTTTCCCAGTCTTTCTTAACCAGATGTCTTCGCATGTAGGGGTCATTCACATAATTTAAAGCATTCAACAAAACAATATTACTCTAAGGCCGGGATGGCGAACTTATGGTACGCGTGCCACAGGTGGCATGCAGAGCCATATTGGTGGGCACGCGAGCTTTGCCCTAGCTCAGGTCCGGCGCGCATGCGCACACTGGCCAGCTGATTTTTGGGCCTTTTGGGCCCACTGGAAGTCAGGAAACAGGTTGTTTCTGGCCTCCGGAGGGCCTCCAGGAGGGTGGGGAAGGCCATTTTCACCCTCCCCAGGCTCCTAGAAAGGCTCTGGAGCCTGGAGAGGGCGAAAAACAGGCCTACCGGGCCCACTGTGCCATCGCGTGCCAAAAGTGGGGAGAGTTTGGGGGGATGGGGTACATTGAATTATGGGTGTGGGCATGCGCACACACGATCCCCTGCGTTCCTCCCACTTTCGGCATGCGATAGCAAAAAGGTTAGCCATCACTGCTCTAAGGTCTATGCATGCATGTACTTTACCCATTATCATCTTCACCTAGCAGGACTCTGGGCATGTCACAACACAGAGGTGAAAAAGAGGAGATCAAGCTGGTTAAGAGATTGCTGGAATTGTGGCCTGACAAAATTTAAGGAAACCAGATGGGGAAAGATTGCTGTATGCAGGCAATTATATATTTGTAAACAATAATAATCTGGATAGTGGACATGGCAGTACCTGGAGACATGGTAGACAACAATATCTGCCAATCCTAGGTCCTTGGGAAGGACTCAACAGATGAATAAAAATGCCAAATCTAGTCTAAACATCTGGCTAACATTCTGAGATGAACAACAACAACAATAATATAGACACATAGGGTTTGCAACTTGAAGTATCACCCAGAACTAAAGACCAAGAAAATTCAACTCCTGCTCATTTTTTTGCCATAACTGGCAGTAGTATCAAGAACTTGCATATTATTTTCAATGATGTCCATGATTAACATTACTATATATAAAGCCATGTCAACATCAGACCTGATGTAGTACACTGCAACTGAAGTAAATATTCCTACTGTCTCTGGGGAAAAAGCAATAAATTAACTAGAAAATATAAAATGAAGTAGACTGGAGCTTAAAAAGAAAATCCAGAAAGAAAACAGTGGGTTTGATGCATAATGTAGGAATTGGTATTTTCATACTAGCTACAAACTAGGATTGCACAATATGTTAAGTCATAATATGATTGTAGTTTATTGCTGGGCACCTGTAAACACCAAAGAATTCATGAGATCATGAAAATGACCCTAGAGCCTATAATTAGGGAAATCTGTTGAGATTCTACAAATATGTAGACATAAGTCATGCTGAATTGGCTCTAGACAGGACTGACATTTGTATAAGATGTCCTCAATGCATTCCACAAGTAGACTTTCCATCTTGCCATCATTGCCATTATTTTTCACAAGGCTTTTCTCCTTGTCAAAATCTGCTTCATTGCTCAGAAAGGCAAGTCATGGCAAGTGGCCACTGAGGTTTTTCCTTGGAGAGGAATAGGCAATTATAATGAGAAAAATGAGCCTCTACAAAGCAGAAGGGTCTGATGTCTGTGATGGGCAGATTTTCTGGTAGAGTAAAAAAACCCAGAATTTAGGCAAGAATGCTACTTCGATGGACGCATAATAAAGTATAGGTAGTCCTCATTTAACAACCCTGATTGGGATTGGGAATTCTGTTGCTAGGTGACATGGTCATTAAGCAAGCCATCACATGACTATCTGAACATGGGTTTAGTGCAATTGCAGATCAGCACCATTCTAGACAGTAATATTTGAGATAGTGCAAAACCCATACTAAAGAAACCCAGATGTCAAATGGTTAAGCCTATTGATCTAACTATCTATTAAAGAACCCACATTAAGGAAACAGATTGGTTAATACTTTGCAACCATCTGGTGACATTTGGTAGGGGGGGGGGGGGGGAACAAAGTAAAAGAAATCCACTGATCCTTGTCCATAAAGGGGGCTATATATAGTCAACAAAAACAGAACAATTTGCCAGCATTATGCTTACGGCAGGATAGAAATTACCAATAGGAGCAGTAAATGCTGATGGTTCAGCGTTGATAGTGTTTTAATCAAGAGGAGCAAAGATTTCTGTGTATGATACAGCTAGAGGCCTTGCTGTATAAAGGGAAGAGCTCCTAATGTGCCAACAATGCACAAGTCCCACCCCTCACAAGAAAACCAGATGGGACGGGGCTTGCCAGTTGATGTCCTGATCCAAAATTGGCCACTTCCCAAACTGGAAAAGACAGCTTTCAGTTTTATAAGCTGGAAGACCCAACCCCATGAATCTGGAAAGGGTGAGGCTTGCAAAAATAACAGTAGTACTTAGACTTATATACACAGAACTTTACAGCCCTCTCTAGAGTCAGCATATTGCCCCCAAAAATCTGGATCCTAATTTTACTGAACTCGGAAGCAGTGGTGGGTTACCTCTGGTTCGCACCGGTTCTATAGAACCAGTAGTATAACTGGCGGGAGGCTCCGCCCACTGACCCTGACGTCATCAAAACGCTTTGTGCATGCACAGAAGCTTCTGTGCTTGTGCAGAAGAGCACGTGCACGTGTGAGCAGCCCCACTGCAAACTGATAGTAAAGGTAAGTAGAACCCACCCCTTCTCAGAAGGATGGAAGACTGAGTCAACCTTCAGCCGGTGAGATTCGAACTGCCGAACTGCAAGCAGCCAGCAGTCAGCAGAAGTAGCCTGCAGTACTGCATTCTAAACACTGTGCCACCATGGCTCATAATGTCATGATTCAAACTCCTTCTGTCACAGAAATAGAAAAGCAGTGCCCCCATCCCACACCTTGCATTCACTATTAATGACCGAGTTGGACAGCACAAACGTTTTGCCCTGTCACATCCATACCTATTGTCTCCTAGTGCCTAATTTAGTGTCTTTCTCCTGTCATGTGCATCTATCCCATAACTGCCTATGACAACACCAATTCATAACATTCCTCCCAACAAACAAGCTTGCTTCTTTAATTCTAAACTTATCTCAGCCTTTCTCAATTTGGTGAAACCTCAGGTAAAAAAGTTATGTTCTAGCTATTGAAGTAGTAAATCACCTACCAGCAAGATCTTAAATGCAGAAATTCCTTAAAATCTGGAAAGCCAATCAACTTCCCTTTCCCACCCATGGGAAATGCACTAAATATTCTTGGTATGTGGATCATACTGCCATGTGTGCCACTCGCTCACCAAGAAGAGTTTTTCTGGGAAGTTGTGTCTTCATTGGTGAAGGACATATACAATCTGTTCCACAAAAGAGGCAAAAGATAGTCTTGGACAAGAAGCTGAGTATCCTGGATAAAACCTATGGAGCCTTGTAGAATCTTTACTGTGGCTGCAGCTAGCCTCAGCCTCAATCCTAAGCATAATGCTCCTTCCCAAACAGGAAAGAGCAGCAGAGAAAGTACAGATTGTAATGTTGGACAGGAAGGCAAACAATGCCAAGTAGACTCTGACTACACTTGGCACAGTCAATGAAAGGCTATTTGATTAATACTGTGGACAGGAAAATAGTGTTTCTCTAGTGAATTGGCCACCACCCTTACTTGTTTTGCTGCCCACTGTGATGGACTGAAGAAGGCAGTACTGATGGTGGGTCCCATAAATTGTTGTAGACCAGTTAATTAATAGTGGTCCTTAGACGATCAGCCATAGTTGTTACCTCTACATAGGATATTTGAACGGAAGGCTAGTATTCTGCCTTCAGACTGTCCAGTGTTCCAGGGTCACTCTGCTGTTCCACATGCATAGAATCCAAGTCCTAACAGTAGCTTACAACCAAGGAAGTTAGATTCTTTCTCATTTCCCAAAGCCTCATTAGCCAAGTTTATTGTCAGTGGCTTCCCAAATCATAGAAACTGCATGCATGCTTAGCCTCCTCCTTTTCTCTTTATGAAGAGTCTCCTTGATAACTTTCTCTTGATCCTCTTCTCTAACTGAAAAAGGGACAAATAATTCCGCATGTCCATCACAGAGCTATTCTGTGCCCGTGTGTGTGTGTGTGTGTGTGTGTGTGTGTGTGTGAGTGAGAGAGAGAGAGAGAGAGGGAGGGAGGGAGGGAGGGAGGGAGGGAGGGAGAGAGAGAGAGAGAGAATTGAAGTTAGAATTGAGAGTGAACTGTAGCTACTGGGAATGGATATGAGTGTCAACAATGGACAAATACAATTTTTGACCTACACAAACACCATCAGAGAAACAACAACATATGAATATACTATATAATATTACTACTGTATCTGTACTAATAGAAATGACTCATTTACCCATAGCCAACGTCAAAAGAACATTCCAGTTTATCCTGCATGGAGCTGGTGATGGAGAAGAGGAATAATGATCAGCAAGCAGCAGTCCTGAAGAAGGAAAGAGCAGTGACACAGAAGAGAAGTCAGGATGGGAGGGAGGCAAGGCTCCCCAGAATGTTCAGAGGCTTTTACTCACATCAACTGGTACAGGGTGGGTCTTATGTGTTCCATCTGCATAAGCAGCACTTAATGACTGAGCGAAGAAGCAAGCAACAGTACTTAAGAAGGAAGGAACAGCAATACATCTATGAGAGCAACCAGAATGAGACACAAGGCAAGCCTCCCGACCATGACCCTTGGAGAAAGCATCTACTAACATAATTCTGAGTAGGATAATCTTGCCGTGCCTGAAGCACAACTTTAACACAAACAGCAGCACATAAGAACAAGGTACTGAGGCATTTCAGTGATGGAACCACGGTCCAAACATGCTCACACTCCTCCAGAGACTGAAATGGTACATCATTCAGTAGTGGGCAGAAGGAAATTGCAGCCAACATAGTTCCTCCTCGGAACCTACCACCTTTTTCAGATATATCTCCTTGGGTGTAGGCAGTCTGCCACTGCAGCTATATTCCAAGAAGTTGTAGAATGCCTCTGGATAACTGTGGAACTTGCCTGTGGAAGTTGTTGAATCTCTGTCTAGTTGCTATGAACTGCCTGACAGACCCCCTACAGAAAAATAATAGGAAATTTGTACAATGCACCATTTAGATAGCTAGATAGTATTGTAAACATGGTGCCCACTGCTTCAACAGCCCAAAAGTGGAAGGTCTGCATGCCAGATGTATCCAAGCAGAAATCAGAATCTGGACAGATTATAAAAGGGTGTTTCAGCAATTCCTGTTGCCAAACCTTGATGAGGATTGTGTTCAACAGAAAGGTGACATAGAGCCCAAAATCGTTGTTTTCCATGTGGACCAATTGTTCCTACAGTGGATATAGAAAGTCTATATGCCACTCTTAAAATGCCAGGTTTTGGGGATGTAAAAACGTCAGACCAAAATAAATGACTAAAGACTTTTTTCCCACCTTTAATATAGCATATGGGCTGTAGAATTCAATTGAAAAACAAACTGAAATCTATAGGGGGAAAAATAACAATAAAAAACTAGACAAATATGGCTGCATAAAGATGCACACCCTTAAACCAAGACTTCGTTAAAGCACCTTTTGATTTTATGACAGCATTCAATCGTTTGGGGTAGGAGGCTATCAGCATGGCATAATCTTGCCTTGGCAATCTTTGCCCGCTGTCCCTTGCAAAAGTGCTCCAAATCTGTCAGATTGCAAGAGCATCTCCTGTGCACAGCCCTCTTCAGGACACCCTACAGATTTTCAATTGGATTCTGTTCCAGGTTCTGGCTGGGTCACTCCAACTTTAATATTATTCTGGGGAAGCCATTGTTCTGTTGATTTGGAGATATGCTTTGGGTCGTTGTTGTGTTGAAATATGAAATTCAGGCAACTGAATAAATATCAGGAAAATCCTACTAGAACAAGCTGAACTCTATATGAGCTTGATCAGAGTCACTTTAATTGATGACATCTGTGTATGTATTATGAGTTTGAATATGATTTATTAATTCTGAACACAGCCACATCCCTATTTATAAGATTTCACAATTATCCTAATTTTTTTTATTATTTTCCTCTCTAAAATATTTGTTTGCTTTTCAATTGAATTGTATAGCTTATATGTTATATTAAAGGTGGAAAACATTCTGAATTGATTTCTCTTGGTCTGATTTTTTTTACATCTCCAAAACTGGCTTTTTAACAGAGATGTATAGACTTTGTATATCCACAGTAATAACAGTTGGGGGACATTGCAACATTGCCACTTGCTTCCACCTCAAGAGAAGGCTACATACTAGGTATCTCCCCTGCTTTGCTGCTTTTCCTATTGCCAAAAATATCTTGGATGTCCATATCTGGAGAAATACCTTGCATGGAAGAAACAATGAACATCCAGACCCAGTCCAGAAAAAGTGATGTGTAATTTAATGATTGATATGGACCTATAATTGTGGCATTTGCATCAACACAGTGGCCATGCCATTGCAGGTTGAAGGACTGTCAATTGTTATCAGGAAATTAGAAGAACACATTTATTTATTTATTTATTTTATTCAATTTGTATACCACCTTTCTCCTAGTGGACTCAGGGCGGTGCACAGCCAGAACTAAAACACATACCAATACAAAATTTAAAATTTTTAAAAGAATTACACATACCTGCAATCAGGAAAAGCTAGTCATGCATAATTATCCTTACTGAAAATATTTGACAAAACAGATGAGGGGGTTACAGCCTGGGCTTCCCTTCTCTGGCTTTTGGATTCCAAGGACATCAAACCAAAGTGCAACCCTTTCAGCCACCACCAAGACCGTTCACATCATTTAGTAACACAGCAACTAAATACCATACACGTGAGCTCAAAATATCAACAAGGTTCCCCCTGAGAAGGCAAGCCACTTCCTACCAATCAGCTCCAGAAGGTCCTTCTTATAGCCCCACCTTGACCCTGGTCACCGCTGCCTGAAGCAGCAATAGGAGTTGCAGAGGAAAGTGAACAGCATTAGACATTCACAGGACTTGCAAAACCCTACTCTATTCTGAAAGCTGTTTCAAGTCTTCTTGAGGGGGAGGGGGGAATAGTGTCAAATCTACATATCAGACAATATCAAGGATCTGCAGCAGTGTCGAAAAGAGTACCCTAGGCCCGTGATGGCGAACCTATGGCACACATGCCACAGGTGGCACACAGAGCCCTCTCTGTGGACAAACCAGCCGTTGCCCCAGCCCAGCTCTATTGTGCATGTGCGTGCGCCTCCTGCTGGTCAGCTGGTCTTCGGATCTCTGTCACACATGTGGGAGGGCGGGGTGCATACGTGGGATGACCATGTGCACGTGGGGGGTGCCAGTTGGTGCAGGAGGCTTTCCAGGCCCAAAATGGGATGCACAGGGGCCTTGCACTGTGCCCCCGCACCCCATTTTGGCCCTGGAAAGCCACCTGACCCAACCTGGAAGCCAAAATGGGGCATGGTGGAGCGGGATGCATGAATGGAGGGGGGGGCTCACATTGCATTTTGGCGGTTTGGGCACGCTCGTGTGCATGCGCACGCTTACGCTTTGGGCACTCAGCACCAAAAAGATTAACCATCACTGCCCTAGGCACATGCAGAATCTTTTGAATTAGACTTAAGTGTGCAAGGTTTCCAATTTAGAAGGGCTGCATTTAGAAAAGCGCATGGATCAATTCACCAAACTGTTCATCCAAGTCTCCATAAATGATATCAAGCCTCCTTGAAAAACCTCACTCAGGCCTGAGGAGGAGAGAGAGAGAGGGGGAGGGATGGAGGGATGGAGAGAGAGAGAGACAGAGAGAGAGAGGGAGGGAGAGACAGATAGACAAGGTGACAGAGAGGGAGAGGGAGAGAGAGAGAGAGATTGGAAACATCCCTTGGAACGGATCACCTCGCTAATCAAGGGAAACTTGGAAGACTGCAAAATCTGTACGAACATCCTTTGTCTCTAATCGCAGCAGCTTTGTCTGCTCGCTCTTTCTCTCTCTCTCTCACTCGCGCGCGCGCGCGCGCCAGCGCCCGACCGCTCGCGCCCCGCTTTAAGGCCTGATTGACACGGGGAGGAGGCGCCTCCCGGTGACAAAAAGTCCGAGGCGCAGGACTCGAGCGCGGGGTGGCTGGGTAGGTGGGTGGGAGAGAAGAACGAATCCGGTAACTTTCAGAGGAGGTTCGACCACCAGGGGGAGGCGGGAAGAAAGAGAACCACGAACGAAGTTGGAGCGCTTGGTCGAGACCGCTGCCATTCCTCCGCCAGCTTTTTTACAGAAACGAGCGCGCCTCGCCTTCTATTCCTTCCCGCCTTTGGGCTGCCGCAGCCTCCCCGCGGATTATCACCCGAGCTACCGTCCCTTGTTTGCTTTCCTCGTTCTTTGGGGAGACTCGGTTGCTTCGGCTTGTCAAGTTTTGCTCCGCTGTCCTTTGCCAGAAGGGGGGAAACTTAAGAGGAAAAGGAGCATCTGAGAGGATACAGAAGACCCCCACCCACCTATCCCCACTGGTGGTCTTCTTTTGGGGGGAGAGGGGGGTCTTTTCCCACTCCCTTTGTTTCTTCCTGCCCAACCCCAAACCTTTTTGACTTCGCCATGGTGGCTATTGGGAGAAGGAGGAGGACGACAGCATGAAGCCTCCAGGATGGGCGCAAACAATGGCAAGCAGTACGGCAGTGACGGTAAGTCCCGCTGCGCCGAGGCGGGTCCCTGGATGTTCACCGGGGAGCGAGAGTCGCGCGTGCGGCCGCTTGCCTGGGGACGGACAGCCGGGCGCAACTCCAGCCGCGTCTAAGAGGCTGGGAGCGTTTGCAGACGCTCCGCTAGGAGCAGCGAGGGAGAGGAGGTCACCCCCCCCCCCCCCATCTTGCAACGCCCGCGATCCGGGACGGCAGCTTGTAAAGTTCAAGGCAGGGTTTGCGGTTTTCCTTTCTTAGTCTCTTGGCGCATCTGCCGTTTTGTCGTCGCTCAGAAGTTGCTGCAACGGACCCAAGTTGGAATTCTCCGAAATGTTTGCAGTACAATTTATTGGGGTTTGGCACGCCTTGCTTCGGGTAGCGGGACGGGATGGGACAATGCGCTTTTTTTTTTTTTTTTTTGCCTGTCTTGTTAAAGTTTGAGCCGAGGAGCTGTTTAGGCTGAATATGAAAGAATTCTATACAGGTAGTCTTCGACTTGCAACAGGTCTCTTAATGACAGTTGGAAATTATAACGGCACTGAAAACAGTGATTTATGACAGTTTTCACACTTACAACTGTTGCAGCATCCCCAACGGTCCTGTGATTTACATTCCAATGCTTGACAACTGACTCACAATGATGCCCGTTGCAGTGTGTGTGTGGGGTGTGTGTGTGTGTGTGTCACATGATCCCCTTTTGCGACCTTCTGATAGGCAGAGTCAATGGGGAAACCAGATTCGCTGAACAACCGTGTTACTAATTTAACAACTGCAATGATTCAGTTAACAGATGTGGCAAGAAAAGTCGTAAAATGGGCCAGAACTCACTTGTCGACATAAATTTTGGATTTGATTGTGGTTGTAAATTGAGGACTACCCTGTATATTAGTGCATTAGCAATGTAGCTTCCCTGGCCCAAATGCCATATGGGAGGCTAAATAAATGATATATATAAGTAGGTTGAACTTACATGAGAACACCATCACTACTCACTTTATAACACTGTGCAGAGGCATGTCTCTGGTGTCACAGGAGAGTTTTGTGAATGGTGTAGATGTCTGTTGTATATCCTTTTTTTCCCTTGTTTTAGAATAGATTAGAATTCTTTTATTGGCCAAGTGTGATTGGACACACAAAGAATTTGCCCTCTTAATCAAGAATCATGTAGAATTTATTGTATATTCTAAAGATGAATCCTTCTGGCACATTCATACTGAGGGTCTCTTCCAGAAGTGATTATTTGTTAACTTCACTAACCAAAAATGTCAACAGAACATTGACAACTCAATTTGTCCCACACATTTATCAGGAAGCACAGATCAGTATAATAGAATATAAAGGAACACATTAGTATTAATTAATTCAACCCAGATAAAGAATACTGTTGGTCTAATTGAAGATTAAAAAAAAACCCGCATCAGAAACCATGGTATGACTAAACTGAAGCACTTCTGAAAGTCCATCCTATTCATTCAGCCCATTGCTCAAGTCTGCCTAGACTTTTTTTTTAACTCTTCTCTTTCATCTAAAATATTAGCCACCCCTTACAGTTTTGTGTCATTTGCAAACTTTGTAAGCATTGTCTCAGTTCCCTCAGTCAAGACATTGATAAACTTTTTAAACACATTGGATCCAGGACAAAGCCCTATGCCACTCCATTCAGTATTTCCCTGAAGCTGGAGCTATTCATTAGCATTCTCTGAGGACAGGCATTCAGTCAATTGTGAATCCATCTAGCAGTAGCATCATCTAGTCCAGCGGTCCTTAACTTTTCTGGCACCAGGGATTGATTTTTTGGAAGACAATATTCCCCTGGCTGCGGTGATGGTGGTGGTTTCATGCGCAACCTAGATCCTGCACATGCACAGAGGAAGCTTCGCTCAATTACCTGCCACTTGTGCAGTCCGGTTTCTAAAAGGCCACAGACTGGTAGTGGTCCACAGCCCGGGGGTTGGGACCACTGATCTAGTCCAGGGCTCTCCAACCTTGGCAACTTTAAGACTTGTGGATTTCAACTCCCAGAATTCCTCAGCAAGCACTGGCTGAGGAATTCTGGAAGTTGTCCACAAGTCTTAAAGTTGCCAAGATCGGAGACTCCTGATCTAGTCCATATTTTATCATTTTATTAAGGTGAAGGGATTACTAAAGTCCTTGTAAGCTGATTTCTTTGGCATTCCTCTGATCTAAAATTATATCTGAGAAAAAGATATAATCTGCAACAAATTCATTCTGGCATCTGTTAATTGGAGCATGTCTAGCCAACTGCTCACAAACATGCTATTTACTAATCTGTTCAAGAACATTGCCTAATATAGACATTAAGTTGACAGGTTTGTAGTTTCCTGGATCCTGCTCCTTCCTTCACCAGTCCTCCGGGAATTCTCAAAGAAGACCAAGAATGGTAGAATGTAGTTGATGTGGCATTAAAGATCTGAATCTGTTCAAATTGGCTAAGTTTTATCTTGCCTTTTGCTTATCCACTATATCTTCAGCTGCAATCCCTCCTTCCCCCAGTGACATAACAATGACCAATCTTTCTGCAAGAAGGCAGTGGCAAAATAAAAGCCAAAACATCACTATTGCTCATATCAATTCACTACTTTCTCCTCACACCCCTTTTGGCTTCCCTTTTGATTCTAAACAACCAACAGAACCCTTTGTTGTTTCTAATAGCTGTCACAAGCTTCAGCACATTCTGACCTGGAGCCTTTCTGATAGTTCCTACCATTTCTGGAGACTGTCTTGACTTTTTCTCTGGTTATGTGTTTCTCCTTCCATTTCCATGCATAACCTTTTTTTCTCTTTAACATTTTAGAGAACTCAGCGTGGATGCTCATTGGCCTCTAGTTTCTCCCATTTTTCTTTTTGTGGGAATTTGTTTCTTAGGATTACCATTTTATCCTTCAAGATTTAATGCCATTGGATCCAAGCTACCTTAAAATTACAAGTAGTCCTTGACTTACAATGGTTCATTTAGTGACCATTTAAAGTTGCAATGGCCCTGAAAAATGTGACTTATTACCATTTTTCACAGTTATGAGCTTTCTAGCATCCCCATGATCATCTGATCAAAATTCAGATGCTTGGCAACTGGTTCATATATATGACCATTGCTATGTCCTGGGGTCATGTGATCACCTTTAGCGACAAAACAAATGTCTCACTTAACAACAGAAATTTTGGGCTCAATTGTGGTCGTAAATTGAGGATTACCTATAATCAGAATCAACTCTTTTGAAATCTGGTGTAAAGCTGTGAGTCTTCTCACTGATTCCTCCTCTGGGGGGTCACAAATTCAAAACAATCACATTCCTACAGGGTACTTTTACTACAGAGGTCTTCAAACTTGGCAGCTTTAAGACTTGTGGACTTCAACTCCCAGAATTCTCCAGCCAGCTTTGCTTCTGGTAAAGTTTGCTGCCAAGCTGCCAAGTTTGAAGACCCTTGTTTTATTACTTCAACCAATTAATTTCTGTTGGTGAGGATTAGGTCCCCAGCTGCAGTCCCCCTTGTTCTTTCTTCTATCTTCTGACAAATGAAAACAGCAAGTATTTGTTGCACCTCTGAATCTTGGCACAGTTAGATTCCAGGCTAATTGCATGCGCCTTCATCCATGTCTTTCTCCTACCCAGGCAGTCTGTTATAAACTCCTAGGTTTATATTGCTTTTCTCTCATTCAGTGGTGGTATTCAGCTGGTTTGGACTGGTTCTGGTGAACTGGTAGTAGCGACCTGCAGGGGGTTGGGCCTGCCCCGCCTCTGCTCGCTGCCCCAAGGCTGCGTACGAGCGAAGCAAGTCTGCACATGCGCATGCTCACATTTTTGGTGCGCGGCGAACCGGTGGTTAAATTATGTGAAACCCACCTCTGCTCTCATTGTATTCATACTTGGACACTTTCAATTAAATTTCTGTGTTCTGATTGTTAAATTTATATTTACAATGGTGAGTATCATCTCACCAAATTTTAGTGGTACCTATCGTATCATATCCGTTTTCTTGAGTTTCATTCCCCATACTCTTTGTATTGGTGTAGAAACATCTGAGGTTTTGAGTAGCACCACTAACTGGGTTTTCTAGTTAGTCTGTAGTTCCCTACAAACACTTGAGCCCATACTTGGCCTTTTTCTTCCTTTATGTTCTGCTTTCTAACCCTTGGCTACAAATTTGGATATGGGTTTTTGCCACCCTTCCCCATTTCTTTTAGTTTAATGCCCTCCTGATGAGATTGGCACTTGCCAATATTTCTTTCCTTATCTTCATAAGTTGTAGCTCATCTCTTCCCAAGTGAACTTCATGAAGGCAACATAGTTCATCCCAGAATCCAAATTCTTCTGGATAGTAGTACTTACATAGCTAGTTATTGACTTTCAAGATTTTGGTTTTTTTTCCGTAGTGTCATGGCTTTTGTCTGGAAGTATTGTTAAAAAAACCAACCTACCTCTCTTCCGAGTTTCTTCCTGCTTAAAACCTCACAGGTTTTTGTAATGCTTTCTTCTGGTCTGTGATTTCTACTCATATAAATCAAAAGAAAAGAATTGGCTTTGAACAGTGTCAATAACCTCTCTGCTACATTCTGGATACAGACACCTAGAAGACAACACATTTCCCATGACATCATACTGGGTCTGTACATAGTTGTCTTTCTCTCAGCAGGGCATCATTCCCTCATTGGCTAGTTTGAGATTTATTGTTACATGCAACCATGGCATTTAGCTTCATTTAAAAAAGGCCAATGCTTATTTAACTTCGAAGATTTTTTAAAAACTAACCTATGATCAGACGTGGGCGGCACATGAATTAATACCCAGTTTGCCCCAATACCGAAAATGTGAGCTTGTGCGTACGCTTTGCTCACGTGCATGCTTGCACGCATGCGCGCAGCTTAAAAAATGCAGCTAAATAGGATGCATAGCGCCGGGGTGGGTGGGCAGGTCACAACTACTGGTTTGCCCGAACTGGCAGCAGCCCACCACTGCCTATGATTTAAAAAAAAAAAAAACACCTATCAATACAGTTAGCAGAAAGGAAGAGGAACATATAAAAGTAGGTTAAAATCACATGGTTTTGACCTAATATGCTATATAAAAGATGAGGGCATGTGTGCAAAATGACACTAATGGAGGATAATTTGACATCATTTATAAGCTTAAAAGCTGCCTTCACCTTTGCAGATTTCCAAAGTTAGTTCTGGATGCTGGTGCGTTCTAAGTATGAAGTTTGTGCCTGCCTCGTAGTATTATGAAATATACATTGGGACTTTTGTATTAATCATATTCTAATGGCAGACATTGAAGAGCAGGTAAAAAGCAACCTTTGCTCTGGAGTTTTGAGCAAGTACCACCTGCATTCTATGTCATCTTTTATAGTTTGTTTCTGATATTTCAAGATTCTGTATTGTACGGTATAGCACAGAACTGCTTCCTGACTAAATGGCAAGTTTTTCAACCCCAGGGACAAAGTAGGAGAGAGGCAGGGTTTAATGTGCTCCAGCTGTTCTCTTTAAATGCTACCTCTGCAATTTCATTCCACTTACATTTTTTTCCGAGCCTGCATTTAGATGTGTAGTATTGTGTCTGTCTCATATAGAATCCTTTTAGTGTAGAATTGTAGTGACCACATTGGAATAATGGTGTGATAGTTCAGTGCATCTAATAAGTATTGGGTTGGGAAATAAATTATGGCATGACATAAATAATTATTAGAAAAATTATGTTTAAATCAACTGTGTCATTTAGCCATTCTAATAATGGTAGTCCTCGACTTATGATTACAATGGAGCCCCCAATTTCTGTTGTTAAGCAAGATAGGTGTTAAGTGAATTTTGCCTCACTTTGCGACCTTTCTTGCCACAGTTGTTAAGTGAATCACTGCAGTTGATAAATTAGTTGCATGGTTGTTAAGTGAGTGGCTTCCCCATTTACTTTGCTTGCCAGAAGGTTGCAAAATGGGATCACATGATTCTGGAATACTGCAACCGTCATAAATATGAGTCCATTGCCAAACATCTGAATTTTAATCAGGTGACCGTGGGGATGCTGCAACAGTTGTAAGTGTGAAAAATGACTCAAAAGTCATTTTTTTCAGAGCCATTGTAACTTTGAACAGTCATTAAACAAACTGTTGTAAGACAAGGACTACTGTATACTCAAAATACTTCTATGTAGTTACTCACTGAATGGTAACTTGCCTCAGGAAATTAACTTTCTCCCTTCATACATGTCTGTTTACTAAATTGATATTATTATGAAAGAGGTAAATACATTTGAGTCACAAAATATCAGAATCATCCTGACTACAGGCTGTAGGTTGAAGCTTTCTGTCTGTGCCTTTGAGTATTCCTGAAAGCAGGAATCTTACCTAAACAATTGTTCGTGAAGCAGACAATCTATAGCTATAAGAGAAAGGATATTTAACCACAGCTAATACATTACTGGCAAAGCCTAGCACAGGGGGTCCTCAAACTTTTTAAACGGGGCCAATTCACAGTCTCTCAGACTGTTGTGGGCCTGGACTGGCTGGGTGGGCGTGGGTAGGTGGTCATGTGACTGGGTGAGCATGGCTAGGAGGTATTGTGACTAGGTGGGCATGGCCAATTTAGCAGTTCATTAAACAATGCACACAAATTAAACTTTAACTTGTTTTGCTCCTGTGAGTGTTTCATTTGCTTTTGTTTGCATGTTGCTCTTTTGGTTGACTTTTCTTTTTACTCGATCGTTTTTTCAGTTGTTTAGGAGCTAGTGGTCCACTTCAGGAAATTCAGCAATTTTTTGCAGCAATTCTTCTCAACCCCAAGGAGCTTACAATCAACATATCTCTCTCTCTCTCTCTCTCTCTCTCTCTCTCTCTCTCTCTCTCTCTCTCTCTCTCTCTCTCTCTCTCCTCTCCCTCTCTTTCTCTCTCGTTCTCTCTCTATTTCCCTCTCTCCGTCTATCTTTCTTTCTCTCTCTCTCTTTTTCTCTCTCTCTCTCTCTCTCTCTCTCTGTGTTCTCTCTCTCTCTCTTTCCCTCCCTCTCTCTCTTTCTCTTTCTCTGTCTCTCTCTTCTCTTTCTCTCTTTCTCTCTCTCTCTCTGTCTATCTTCTGGAGGCAGGGGAGGCCAAAAACGGGCCCGGGGCATCCGCATGCCCCATTTTCACCTCTGCCTTCAGAAGCATACTGCAGGGCAAAAACGTGCCCATTTTTGGCCTCCTAGGACATCCGTGCCCCCCATTTTTAATCTCCCCTGCCTCCAGAAGCACTCTGCAGGCCAAAAATGTTGACCTTACCTTCCAGTTCCAACCTGCGGGGCTTGTGAAGGTAAGTCCTATACTCGGCCGAAGGGTGGAGGCCAGCAGGTGGGTGGGGCAATGTGGGTGGGACAGCCTTGTCCTGCATGGGCTGGATTAAGGGCTTCGGTGGGCTGTATGTGGCCTGCAGGTCACAGTTTGAGGACCCCTGGCCTAGCAGCTAACCAGCTGTATCCTACCAGGAGAAGAATCAAGGTACATGTACTCTCTATACATATGTGTCAGGAAAGAAAAGTAGGAGTGAACAATCTCTTTGACAAAGAAGGGATGAAATGATAAAAAAGGGACACTGGAGTAAATCCTCAACTCTTCATCTGTATTCTAACCTCTGCTTATGGTCATAGGTGCTGAAGAATCAGTGGCATTGGATTTGGATCTCCAAACAACTTGTTTTACATGATCCACTATCCATGAGATAGCTTTGCAATTTACCTTCTAAAGCAGGGTTGTCAAACTCACATCGTCATGACGGTGTTATGTGACAAATCAGGACTTTTCCCCCCTCACTAAACCGGGCGTGGGCATGGCCAGTGCATGACACATTCGGCCCGCAGGCCGGAAGTTTGACAGCCCTGTTCTAAAGCTTTATCAATTGGACAGCTTGAGTTTCCACTGTGGCACAAAAGAGGATCCCAGTAGTTCAGTTAATTCAATTAATATCCCTTTCTGTTTGTAAAACAACAGCTACCATCAAAAATTACTGCCATCAAAACATGATAAATAAGATTACTTATTCCCCCTGGAAATTTTCCTCAAATATTACTTCCAGGTTGTCATGGAGAACAAGCTGGTTGTATTGGCTGGGTCCAAACATAGCTTAACTATGGGTGGCTTGGTAAACTGTGATTAGTTGGATTAATGCAGTATGTTGGGCCATAAATTTTGATTTACGAACCACACTGAGTGGGCTCACATACTGCACATGGCCAGAAACAAATGTTGAGAGGAGTCAAATTGTTGTTCCTCAAGATTGCACAAAACCCTTTACATTATCTTTCCCCAAATATTTCCACAGGGTCTTTGGCAGAATGAAGTACACAGTATTGTTCAGTACAGTACAGCTCATACAGTTAATAAACTTCTTATTTCTCAATAAGGTAATTGTAATTGTAATTGTAATTGTAATTGTAAGGTAATTGTAGAGGGACACAGTGGCTCAGTGGCTAAGATGTTAAGCTTGTCGATCGAAATGTCAGTTCAACGGTTCGAATCCCTAGTGCCACGTAACCGGATGAGCTCCCATTACTTGTCCCAGCTTCTGCCAACCTAGCAGTTTGAAAGCATGTAAAAAATGCAAGTAGAAAAATAGGGACCACTTTTGGTGGGAAGGTAATAGCGTTCCGTGTGCCTTTGGCATTTAGTCATGCTGGCCACATGACCACGGAGACGTCTTCGGACAGCGCTGGCTCTTCGGCTTTGAAACAGAGATGAGCACCACCCCCTAGAGTCGGGAACGATTAGCACATATGTGCGAGGGAAACCTTTACCTTTACCTGAGGTAATTGAAAATCTTATTACAATGGCTTTATCCCTCACTATTACCACACCCATAGATGGCTGTGGTTCAGGGGTGGGTTGCCCCCTGGCAAACTGGTAGTAAAACCACTGGGAGGCCCCGCCCACCGCCCTGGATGTGGTCATCAACAATCTGCCCATGCGCAGAAGCAAGGCACACACACGAGCAAAGCAAGTGTACGTTCGCGATCCCATTGCGAACCGATAGTAAAGGTAAGTAGAACCCACCCCTGCTGTGGTCTAAAAACCAGTGCAATAAATTACAAGATGGCTTCATCCTGGGCCATCACTTCACCTTTTTTCTTCTTTACAACTTCCTCTAAGTTGAGAACGCTTCCTTTTAACTTGAAGCAGCTCAAGGAAAGCCCGCAAATAATGTGATGTCATTAATGCTTCTCTCAAAATTCTCTCCTGATACAGCTAGATTGTAAGGTGGAGACTGATACAGAGATTTGGGGCACCACAAGTGATTCTGGGCCTTTCCTAAGCAATGGAATATGGTGATTTGAAGAAATGTGAGTTTCCCAATTGGGAAACTGATCAGTGGTAATCAGACCATGTTTTGTAGCATTCAACTCTCTTGGCATTACCAGAAGTCTAGATGAAAACTGAGAGTGATCAGATGGGGAAGGTCTGTTTCAGTATTGAAGATGGAAAAATGTAATCTATAGATGATGTGTTATTTGCCATTCCCTGCTAGCAGTTATATTGACCAATAGCTCTCTCTGCTGAGAATTTATTTCCTATTGCCCAGGTACAGGGTGGATAAAAATCAATGATTTTTTTAAAAAAATCAAAAAAATCAGATTTTTTTTATTTAAATCGGATTTTTTTTAATTTAAATCGGATTTTTTTTTATTTTTATCGAATTTATTTTAATAAAAAACTTTTGGGGTAAAAATCTATCGTAAGATTTCTATTTAAGATACATAAATAATTTAGTTTATTCAGCATGAAATGGAGCTTAGTTATGTAGCATGAGGCTGTATATTCTGCAACACTGGGACTATCAGTGGGTCAAAGGAGTAGCAGAGATGACAGTTGCTCTTTAAAAATTATGATTTAAATCGAGTTGATTTAAATCAAGCTGTTTTACTAGTGATTTAAATCATGATTTAAATTGTGATTTAAATCAACTCGATTTAAATCAAATCCACCCTGCCCAGGTATCTACTGAATCTCTTTTAAAATTTTTGAAGCCATAATCTTTGCTTTATACTTTAGAAGGTAATAATAATTTTATCTGAAGTCTCTTCACTGGTAAAAGTAAAAATACAGGAAAAAAAATAACAGTAGAATTACGTTTGGTTGCTTATTTTTATCTTCTCCCTTGAGGGTTCATCACATACTGAAATATTATTTGTGCTCTTCTATAAAACCTCCTTTGGGAAGGTAACTTTAACCCCCCATTATACCAGACACCAGAAAAACAAACATTTCCTGGAATTACACCTCACTTCCTTAGAGGAACAGCTGTGTCTGCTGTGTTTTCCAGCTGTGGAAGTAACTGTGGCTGAGAAACCCCAGCTTGGAGGGTGGGGGGGACAGATAGGTTGTTCTAATTTTCCTCACTGCTTCCACTCTTGTGTCAGTCAAGAGAATCTTCCCGAGCATTGTTATCCCCATTTCCATTATAATAGTTGAGAATATATAGGAGCTGTTCTTTAACATTCTGTCTAGATGACTTCTGGATACTAAAATCCTGAATGGCAACTAGTAAGAAAAGTTCTTACTCCCCCTTACTAAGCCCACATTTGGTTATCTGCTCAACTGATGTCCCTGAATTGTATTATTACAATATTTTCCACTACCAATGGGGCAAGGTTGCTATTCTCAGGTTTGAAATGGAAGGAATTTGCTGTGGCTTCCTGGGACATCATCATTTCTGTATAGCAGCGGTGTCAAATTGGCAGCCCAAGGACCGGATGCGTCACATGCAGGCCATGCCCACCCCAGCTCCGCAAGGGCAAAAAATGTTGCAATATGTCACGATCGAGTCTGACACCTGTGCTCTAGAGTTAAGAAAACTTTTTGCCTCAATATCATTAGAATGTGAATTAAGTCAAGGCCTCCTTTATGGATGCAAGTCGCCTTCAGTTATCTCTGATGTTTTTTGGCTGCTCTTGGCTTGGGTTTTTTTTTTTTTTTGGTAGCCCTTTTGGTGTCTCAGTTTTTTCTCTTTTATTTGTGGCTCATATGAGTTTTCTCTTATTTCCATTCTTGCCTGGAAGATAACCTTCCTAGATGATTCACACAGCAGTATGTTCTGGCCAAGCTCCTGTCTCAAGCAGGAAAATCAACCTTGGAACGGAAGCATGTCCTCTTCCAAGTAGAGCATAAGTATTTATGGAAAAATCATTTACCTTTTTTCCTCAATATCTGCTATTGTTAAGTGAGTTTTGCCCTATTTTACAATCTTTCTTCAGTCAATCAGAATACAGCTGGAAGGAACCTTAGAGGACTTCTAGTCCAACCCCCTGCTCAAGCAGGAGACCCTATACTCGTGATGGCGAACCTATGGCACACGTGCCACAGGTGGCACATGGAGCCATGTCACCTGGCACGCCAGCTTAACTCCAGGAGTCTCTGGAGGCTGGGGACAGCAAAAAAATCACTTCCTGTCCAACTGGAAGTTGGGAAATGGGCTGTTTCGGGCCTCCGGAGGGCCTCTGAGGGGATGGGGAAGGCTGTTTTCGCCTTCCCCAGATGCATAGAGAGGATCTGGAGCCAGGTGAGAAAGAAAAACTGGCCATCATGTGCCAAGAGCAGAGGGGTGGGGGGTTGCGTGCGCATGCGCGGGGCGGGGCGCATAGAATTATGGTGTGGACATGCTTGTGCGCGAACCTCCTCTGCCCCCCCTTCCTGGCACGTGATGGCAAAAAGGTTAGCCATCACTGCCCTATACCATTTCAGATAGGTGGCTGTCCAGTCTTTTCTTAAAAATCTCCAGTGATGAAGCACCTATAACTTCTGAAGGCAAGCTGTTAATTGTCCTCACTGCTAGGAAGTTTCTTCTTAATTCCAGGTTGCTTCTTTCCTTGATTAGTTTCCATCCATTGTTTCTTGTCTTGCCTTTTGGTGCTTTGGAAAATAAGTTGACCCCCTTTTCTTTGTGGCAGCCCCTCAAATACTGAAATACTGCTATCATGTCACCCCTAGTTTTTCATTTCTCTAGCCTGGCCATACCCAATTCCTGCAATAGTTTTTCATATGTTTTTGTCTCCAGGCCCTTAATCATCTTAGTTACTTTTCTTTGCACTTTTCCAAAGTCTCAACATCTTTTTTTTAATGTTGTGACCGAAATGAATGCAGTATTCCAGGTGTGGTCTTACTAAGGATTTATAAAGCCGTACTAATACTTCATGTGATTTTGATTCTATGCCTCTGTTTATAGAACCAAGGATTGTATTGGCTGCTGCCACACACTGCTGGCTCATGTTTAAGTGATCATTCACTAGGACTCCAAGGTCCCTCTCAAAATTGCTGTTTTTGAGCCAGGTTTTGCCTGTCCTTGTACCTTTGGTTTTCCTGCCAAGATCTAAAACCTTGCTTTTCTCCACATTAAATTTCATGTTGTTGGATAGGACCTATTGTATAACTATAACTATATTGTTATAGCTATATAACTATATTGCCACATAATCATACAGTAAAATGAAGGTTTTTTTAGACTGAGCTACAGTTCTGTTTCAAACATAGGTTGATTTTATGTAAAGTAGAGCACAGATCTCTAGCACCATCATTGTTAATTTTTTAAACTGGCGTCACATAGCATGGATAAAAAAAAAAAAAATTCAATGGCTGTGACTCAGTGCTTTGTTTGGAAGGGTGCCTATCTATTAAAAAAAGACAAAGATGGTGAGGAAGACAGCTTCCTGGAAGAGCAAGAGAGGCCAGGGGGGTTACTTCACCAGCTTACTTTCCCGGTAAAGGAAGGTTTATAAGTGACCATCCCTACCATGACAATTATTTTATGAATAACAAGTCCCTCCATTTTGTGAGACCATCCATTAAATGCTCTCAGATATGCCCAGACACAGATAAGTGAGCCTGCCTAGTTGTACCTCTCCAAAATGGGATAAGAAGAAGGTTGTATCTGACTGAGTAGTAGCTGCACTTTATGTCTCCTGATTATCCAATCTTTCCTTGTTAGTGCTTTCATATATCATGCAATACTGGCTCTGCTTATCTTTGCATGAGGCCCAGGGCAACCATTTTTCTCTAACTACCATAGTTCAGGGAAGACAGCTTTTGTCACATCCATATCTTTCCAACATGCTGTCTGGGCACGATGCCAGTGAAGCAGCTATGAAGTTGGAGCTCTGGCTTCCCTTCCATTCTTAAATGGCAAACATTTTAGAGATTGCTGACTTTGCTGTGTCATTAGGCTCATATTTCAGATTACCTACAGATTGGCTCTAGAAGGCTGTATTTGCCACCATGAACTGACCCTGCTCTAGCCCCATGCTTAAATAAAACACATATGAAGCAGTTGGAGTGATCATCAGGCGTTCTGGAATGAAGCATCAAATTCTTTGTACCATTTGAATCAGGAGAGGCCAATTAGAGGTTTATATGCAGTAGTGGGCTAAATGAGGATCAGGAAGCTGAAGCTGACTCTTGATAAAGTAGAATATATGGGCAGTTTTGATGTCGAGGAATTAAGAAAAAATGCATACTCCAGATAAAAATTGAACTCCTTCCAGTGGAGCAGTTGCGTAGTCATGCAGTGCTCCTGGTTCCATAATTTTCAGTGGTGAATCAAGTAAGCTCCATAGGGTAGGAGCATTGTTTCTTACCTCCAACTGTTTCTGGGTAGTAACAACCTGGCCATTATGATTCATAAGCCAGTAGGTCAAAACTGGAACTATTAAAAGTGTCCCAAAGATGCTTTTTTCAAGAGGCAACTGGACTTTTTGGTTTTTCTTTGAAGACGTTTCACTTTTCATCCAAGAAGCTTCTTCAGCTCTGACTGGATGGTGGGAAATGGTATAAATTTCCCACCATCCAGTCAGAGCTGAAGAAGCTTCTTGGATGAGAAACGAAATGTCTTCAAAGTAAACTAGAAAATCCAGTTGCCTCTTGAAAAAAGCACCGTTGGGATTACTATGACCTGGATGACTGAGAATCTCCATAGACAACTATTAAATGTGTTTTCTGTAGGGCTGTTTTTGAAGGTGGCCTGGAAACTGCAGCTAATCCAGAATTCTATGGCCGGGGTGCTAAAGGAGGCACGTGATGACGAACAGATTCACACTTGCACAAGAGTCAGTTACCATGTTTCCCTGAAAATAAGACCCGAACCCTGAAATAAGCGCTTGGCTTTATTGCCATGCGCTCAAAAGCCCGATTGGGCTTATTATCAGGGGCTGTCTTATTTTGGGGAAAACAGGGTACATTTTCTAGAATTTTGTGAGTTGGTTGAAAGCAGTGTTGAGCCATTCTGCCTTCCATGCCATTCAGCTGCTCCTTGGCAACCCCAACAATGGGGTTGTGGGCACTAGCAATGGAGCTG